CCATGCATAGAGTCAATTGGATCCTTGTGATGTTTTGTATGGACTTTGGCAATATGTAAATAATATGTAAGGCAAGCTTTTGTGATTAAGAAATCAAATTTATTGAATTGTATTATTGATAGTTGAAACTTCATATGTATGAAAAAAAATAAAAGAATATATACTTTTCACAGAATAAAAAAAAAAAGAAAGAAAGAAATACTGCTTAGCCACACTATCTATCTCTGGTAATTTACTATAGCCATGTAGAACCCCAGACAGACTAAGACATTCTCCACCTCTTCAGTTCTGCTTCCTCGCCATTACTTTTCAGGTTTTGCTATGAAGCACCCACCATAATAAACACCCTGGAGTTTAATGCCCATCGGCAGTGCTATCCTAATTACTCAGGCTAAAGGATTTTGGGATAATTCTTCCCTCCTTTCTCTTCCTCTATAGTTCATAGAATCTGTTGGCCAAGATTGGCAGCTCTTCTAACATTATCCAGAATGCCACTTCATCTCCAGACAGATACTGTCTGTGGTCCCAAACATTATACTGTTGTGGTCTCTCTCTGAGATGACCAGAGCAAAGGATTCATCCATCTTATGGCCAGTAGCTCCCACAGCCTCTGTCAATTATCACCACAGGAGCAAAACAATCCTATTAAAATACCAGTCAGATGATGCTCACACTCTGCTCAAAACCCAACAATCATGCATTCCACACTAATAGAGGTGACTAACAGCACCATGTTTCCTTCTCATTCCAGATCCTGTTTAGTCCCTAACCAGAGGGAGCCAACAGAGTCCATATGTCAAGCTTCTTGACCTCCCTTTACAAGCTCCTATGTAAGACCACCCTTTAGGCTTGGGGTATACAGGAGCATGCACTTGGTGATATAGACTTCCTTTCTTTAGAAAATGTTAATGCCAAAAGAAGACCAGAATGTGGTCTCATACTAGATGCACCAAGTTCTAATAGGTATTCGATCTGTACACTCCCACCTCACAGCCTTTGCCTATGCTGTTATTTCTACCTGTAATGCTCTTCCCCAGTTTCTCATGTGGCTTGCTACCACAGGTTTTCTAAACTCTTACAAAAATGGTAAATCCATCAAGTTCAGTGGTGTTTGTCTGTACAGTAGCAGCCACTAGGGAGGCAAAGATGGAAAGATTGCTTGAGCCCAGGAATTCAAGTCTAGTCTATGCAACAAATTAAGACCCTAGTTTGAAAAAAAAAATCAAAATAATAAAATAATTTACAAAATATTGACACAACATGAGAATATAACATGAAAATAAGAATGATATGGTGCATAATGCAAGGGTACATGTTGGATCTGTTATATAGAGTATAAATGTCTTAACACAATAATTAAGTAAATGAAATGAGGTATATATTAACCAGTGTGATGTAAGTATTCCTAATTCTATATGAAATCAGCACATTGTACCCCATAAACGCATTACTGTATACCTGATCTATGTGTTTATGATTTAATAAAAAAAATTTTAAAAAGAACAATGAAGGGTGGCACCTGTGACTCAAAGGAGTAGGGCACCAGGCCCATATGCCAGAGGTGGCAGGTTCACTCAGCCCTGGCCAAAACTGCAAAAAAAAAATGGAATGTGTGTATTCCTAAACATCACACTACAGGAAATTTTAACTACTTGCAAAACTTCTCCCAGAACCACTAGTCAGAGATCTGTTTAACAATAGACATAAATAAGAATGTAGTTAATTATGGGAATTTAAGTTTAGCTCCTAATATAAGTGCTAAAATAATGATGCTGTAGAAATTACAAGCTAAATAGATTTGGAGAGCAAATGGAGAAAGAAAAAGGAAGCAGAACAATAATCTCAGCATTTTAAGCGAGGGGAAAGATAAATAGTATTTAAATAAGTTTTCTAAAATATAGACGAATAAGCACACCTAAAACATATGAAGAAACACCAAAAAGGTTAATAATCCCGAGAAATAACAGGAAAGAAAGGGGAAGTGGGACTATAGGAATTGCATCATTACTCATAATAAAGACTCAACAATTACGGTAGAAGCACATACAGAAATGGCAAAAAAAGTCATTTTTGTAGTGTGCTGCCTTGAATCCATGAAAGTTCAAAAGGCAAATTTGGGAATGGCCTGAGGGATGCGTGGACTTCCAGGAATTCCTTGGACCCCTTAAAACTTATGAGAATAGCATCCTGTCACACTTCTCCAATATCTGGTCATTCCCCGCCCCAGTCAGAGGTTGTGTTACTAACAGTAAAACACCAGAGGTAAGGGCAGGGTACAAATATGAAAGATGGCCTCACTGTGGCCCTCAGTAGGGGCAGAACTTGAAAATGAGAATCCACTTTGCACTCCTTGATAAAGCATTCCCAGTGCAGTGCTGACAAGGTCCTGCCTACTCTCTTCATCCTTCCTTGGACACAAAGTGCACTCCAGTGACCTTGGGAAAGTTTTCCTCACAGCTGTAACTGATGCTAATTAGTTCAGATCTGAAAAATCCCCAGGACCTGCTGACTTTTCCTGGAACAAGTATTTACATTTTCTACCCAGGAGTAATGAGGTCCCTTTGCAGAAAAACCTTGCAGGTAATATGGTAATTGCAGGTCTGGGGAGAGATGAAGTTAGGGAATAGCAAGACCCATAACAGCTTAGGCTCCTGAAGACCAGTGTCTAATGGTAGCCATGGTGCCTCTTCCTGTTTCAGCCATGAGTTCTTCCTTCGTGAGTGTTTTGGGATGGCTCAGATTCCAGACAATAAAAGAGCATATGAGGATCTGTACAGAGTAGAGGTTTCTCCCCAATCTCAACACAGCTTCACCTAAGCCTTATACTGTTTCTGGGCTTAGGGATCAAGGGGAGTATGAGGACATAGACCCCACAGCAGGCAGGAAACTGTCATAGGTATTTGCATTCATGGGGAATGAACATTGCTTAGGCCGGGGCCAGCCTGAAATTGAGGGTGCTGTGTCCTCACTTGCTCTTTTCTCTTAGTGTAGCACCGTCCATTGGCTTGGACTCAGAGAAGATAGGACATTTTGGTATTTGGAGTTAAAAAGAAAATTTTCAGGTTCTTTGTCTGTGTGTGGTCCCTGTTTCCTGCACACTTGTATACACACAGAGATATATAGCCCTGGGGTGACCCTCACAGGCAGGTTTCAGAACCTGAATGGCATGTATCTGCATGAGTGTGCATCATCATGGGGTTGTGACATCATGTGCCTTTTTTTCCCACTGAGAGGGACTTTATACTCAGATCCTGGCCTTTGTGGCCAGGAAAAATTTCTCACAATCCTGCCTCTCCTCCAATGGGATTTGGGAGTCCTGACAGTGTGTTAGCTCCCTGATCCAGTAGCCAAGGACAGGGACAGTATCTGTGAACATTACGCAGGGTCGCACTGCCCACATGGCCTCTAGCAAAGGTAGTCACAGTGGTCTCTTTTGCTTGACTCCAGGCCAAAATGTACTTTGGAACAAGATAGACGTGCAGCCAGCAGCAACTGTAACAAAATGCTACCCCAGCCTGTGTGACTGGAATGATTTGCTTTTTCACTATGGTGATGTTTGGAAGGTCAGGGGAGTGGCCTGAATAACTCCAGTCTGTGTGTGTGTGTGTGTGTGTGTGTGTGTGTCTCGGTTGGGTATGAAGTGACAGATCCTGCACACACCTGCTCACCACAGAGTGCACCTGCTGCAAGTGTGTATGTTCCTTGGGCCTCTCTCACTGCATCAGGGACATTTGTGTGCACTTTACTGGGACTGAGTGACCTTGACAAAAATTAAGAAATAATCTCTACACTTATTTTTCCTTTTTATATCCCTTTACCGTGTGTGTGTATACATGCATGCACACGTGCAGAGACACACACACACATAGCTTTATTGTGCTCTAAAGAACAAGTGTACAATTTGAAAATTCTTGGCATAATTATATACCCATGAAACTGTTGCCATTATCAAAATTGTGAATATATTCATGGTCCCTGCAATTTCATTGTATCTATGAGTAGTCTTCCCTCTTGCCTCACCCTACCCCAATCCACTAAGAATTCATTGAGCTGCTTTTTGTTCCTAAAGATGATTTTGTGTTTTACAGAATTTTATATTAATATGTACCTCATTTTGTTTCCTTGTATAATAAGATAAGAATATTAATTGACACTGGAAATTCAGTATTAACATACAGGACTACGGTACTCAGATGTAAAGCCCAACAAGAAAGTCATCAATAAACAGTATGGGCTGGTATTTTCTATGAAAGGACCTTGAGGCACTTGCTTGGAAACACAGAAAGTGGCAACACTGTTAAAACTAAAACATTTCTCTGTCTGCATTTGCATTTTTCTGACCAGTTTTTCCTCTCCACACCTTTCATCATGTTTCCTTCTATGTGACTGGATCTTTCCTAACTCCATTGTCCTCTCTGATTATCATCTATGAGTCAATATCCTTCAAGATACAGGGATTTTTCCAGCACTTTCAAGCCAGGAGATTTCATACCATGTGATGCCCTCCACCAGCGTCTGATCTGTCCTCATAGTCCCATTTCATTTTCATTTTCATATTTATCTGTAACTGATGTCCATGTCTGTAGTATTTGCAGTACTCAGGGTTTTTTGTTGTTGTTGTTGTTGTTAATTGGTCACGTTATTTTGCCTTGGGTTTCTTTCTGGTGTCAGTTTAAAAGTTGTTCAATAAAGAAAAGACTAACCATGGGGAGGGGAAGCTAACCTATTAGACAGCCTGAATGGGCCAAGGATAACTATTCTGCCCATAGTGAGTGTTTCAGAGACAGTTTTGATAAGACAGATAAAGCTTTGCCCTAGACATGTACTCTGAAGGATTCAGGAAAAAAATGAAATACTTCCCCATCCTGCATGCCCATGTGTTAAAACACATATGCCTGGCTGGTTACTCTGAGTGGCAGTTCTGATGTCTCAGTTGCGGAATTGCCACCCCCTAAATGTAACTTCTGTCCTTGGAAAGAGGAGTCAGTGAGAGCCCAGGAGTCCTTGTTATAAGGAGGATATTGGAGTTAATCTGGGACTAGTGCCTTATTCTTAATTTTGCCTCTTTAATCTTCAGGCTCTTTTCTGAAAAACTACTTCATGATTTCATGAGAATGACAGCTGGTGATTTGATCCTAATGTTACTGTTTATGGTCCAAACTGTGATTGGGGTCCCAGGGAACATCTGTCTTCTTTTAACATATGCCTCCACAGCCTGCACCAGCCAGATACCAAGACCCACACACCTGATCCTCACCAACCTTGCTGTGGCCAACTTCTTAGTTCTTCTCTTCAAAGGGATACCTCAAATGATATTTATGTGGGGAGTGACAAACATCCTGGGAAATATTGCATGTAAACATGTCTATTATATCCACAGAACAGCCCGGGGCCTTTCTCTTTGTGCAACTTGCCACTTGAGCAGTATTCAGGCCATCACTATCAGCCCTAGAACTGGAGTGTGGCTGAAGCTCAAAGACACAGCTTTGAGGAACACTGGTTTCTCTTGCTTTCTATGGGGGATTTCCAATCTTCTGATAAACATTTTTGTTCCTATAATGGTTCAGACCCTTCAGCAAATCCACAATTCTTCTATGACATGGAATTATGGACTCTGCTCTTCTAAAAGTCCGGACTTATCTTCTACTGTAATCTACACAATTCTAATGACTTTTCCAGATGTGTTCATGGGACTCATGTCTGGGGCCAGTGTTTACATGGTCCTCCTCCTACACAGACACCACCAGAGAGTGAGGCATATTCACACCCTCAGCACTTCCCACAGTTTCTCCCCTGAGGCAAAAGCCACTCAGATCATCCTGCTTCTGGCAACCACCTTCATTTTGTTTTACTTCATCAATTCTATCCTTACACTGTATAGTACTTTTTATTCCCCATCTGTTCCCTGGCTACAACATACCACCACCTTTCTGGTGGCTTGTCATCCCACCCTCAGGGGCCTCATCCTGATTCTTCAAGATCTTAAAGCACAAAACTTTTGTTCTTTGATGATGAAAGAAAAGTTCCAAACTACTAGTTCCTACTACTAGAAAAGTTCCATTCACTGTAGTGTTTCTTTTCATCTATGAATCTGGCTATTCACTCATTTAAGGGTGGATGCGTGGATGCCTAGTAAATGACTGATTTACAGGCAAGTCACTACTGATAAAGAGATTTGGGTGACACTGACTTAAGCACATAGAGGCTTTCAGTTAAATCTAGAAATCAGAAATACAACCAGATGAACACAAACTCTATGTTAGCACCATTCCAATGCTTTCTGATTGCATTGTCCTTTTAAAATATTTGATGAAAGCATGGAGGTGAGGTTCATTATAAATAATTTGGGAACATAGCAGGATTTCAATGGTTCATTAGAGAAAATTGTATTCAATATTGTGCATTAATAAACGGTAATAACTTTGAGTAAAAAAGTCCAACTCTATATGAACAACCCACAGAAAGCTACTTAATCAATAGAAGTCTTAGGGTTTTTACTTATAAGATTAACATTTTGTCTTCAAGAGTTGTAAGATGGTCAGATTTTATAGTGGAACAATAGAGAAATTATTAACTCATAGCTTTCCAGTAAGGGCAAAAATCAGTCATACTCTCTGCCTATTTTCTTCCTTAGACTAGCCCACACTCTGCCCCTAAAGTTTTCCATAAAGAAACCATTGAGGATCCCAGCAAGCCAAAGGAAATAGTAATTTTCTTTCCAATTGCTAGAATTATTAACTTAATATGCCTTTTGGAATTTTTTCGGAAAATCTCTCTGAGAAACAAAGGAATATGATCATCAGGTCTCAGGGGAAGAATCACCTATAATAATATCTGTTTTCAAACTTGCTGGGAAAAAACATAAATAACATTCAAAATATTCACAATACCTTGTAACTTTGCCTGAAATTACTTCTTTTTCCCCTTTAAATCAACAACAGTGACATTTTTTTTCTTTGGGATGCCATATCAATTCTATGGTTTTTCCATCCCTTTCCCTATTCTCTTTCCCTTTTTTATTCCCCCCTCTACTCTTTTTCTAATTTAAAATAAAACTTAAAGCCTATTCTTGGTCTAAAAAAATTCTTTTCTTGTCCCTTATGGAGCAGCAACTGAGCTTTCTACCTTCACAAGATACTTGTGCAAAAATGAATGCAGCCATGAGGTGGGACTTCCAGAACTGTGAGAGCTTTGGTAAATTCAGTCTTCCACAAAATCAATATGAATATTGTCATCATCAGCTTTTGTGATAACTCCAGAAGTGAACCAATATCTTACAATTTTCTGACCAACATTTATTCAAGAAAAATGTTGGCAACCTCAGTAAATACAGTATGGTTTATGAAATTTTAACTCAGCCTATGCCCATTCTTCTCTCCCCAGGTCTGTATCCACTTTAAACAATATGTTTCACACATTATTCTTAACAACTACACACCTACAGGAGAGAAAAACACAATTGCATTTAAATAGGGTGGTAGGTAGAGGCATATGGAAAAGGGGAAGAGGAAGGATGATGGGTAAGCTCACACCTATGCTGCACAATGTAGTATATACGGCATATCAATTGGGGGATGGGCTGAACTACAACTTGAACTTTACTTAAGAAATGCAAACAATGTGCCAGATTCTGGGAATATGGCTGACTTGTAGCAACCCTGATCAGAGGCTCCTGAGCAAAGGAAGAAAAACTGGTTGGAATCAGAATCTATGTAGCCAAAGATGGGGAGCTGAGCCTGGAAAGAAGTTTGGCAAGCTGTAACTCCAAGGAAGAGCATTTAAGAAGATAAAATACAGATACAAAGCAGGCCCTAGAACTGCGTGCTAGAGCTACCCACCTCCTGCCGGTGGCAGGTGGCTGCAGAGGAGTCCCCTCCACCAGGAAGGCAAAGAACTACTTGCCAGAGCCTTGTGCACCCTGCAGGCAGCATTGGAGGAGTCCCCCACTCTGGTAGGGCCCAGAACTGCTTGCTAGAGGCACGCACCCCACAGGTGGCAGAGGAGATCCCCGCTCCAAGGCTCTGGGCAAATCCAGAACTGCTTGCTAGAGCCACACGCCTCCTGTGGGCAGTGGGTGGCTGCAGAGGTGTCCCCTGCTCCTGGAAGGAACAGAACTACTTGCTAGAGCCCTCTACACCTCTGTGGGTGGTGGCAGAGTCATCCCCCACTCTGGGAGAGCCCAGAACTGCTTGTTAGAGCCACATACCTCCTACAGGCGGCAGGTGGTTGAAGAGGAGTCCCCTGCTCTGTAAAGGTACACAAATACTTGCTAGAGCCTTGCACACCCCAAAGGCCATGACGGAGGAGGCCCCAACTTTGAGCGGGCCCAGAACTGCTTGCTAGAGCTGTGCACCCCCAGGAGGCAGAGGAGATCCCCATTCCAGGGCTCTGGGTGGGCCCAGAACTGCTTGCTAGAGCTACATACCTCCCATGGATAGTGGGTGGCCACAGAGGAGTCCCCTGCTTCTGGCAGGCACAAAACTACTTGCTAGAGCCACACGCGACCCACGGGAGGTGGCAGAGAAGTCCCCCACTTGGGGTGGGACCAGAACTGCTTGCTAGAGTCACACTCCTCACAGGCAACAGAGAAGATCCCTGCCCCAGGCTCCTGCTCTGGGCAGGCCCAGAACTCCTTGCTAGTGCTGCAGGCACCCCCTGGCCAGTGGTGGAGGTTTCCTCCATTCCAGGCAGACCCAAAACAGCTTGCTAGAGACACACACAACCCACGAGGGATGGGAGGAGTTCCCTATTCCAGACACCGTGCTGGGTGGGCCCAAAACTGCTTGCAAGAGGCACATGTGTCCCATGGATGGAGGTGGAGGAATTCCCTGTTATGGGCTCCCGTGCTGGGAGAGCACAGATCGGCTTGCTAGTGCCACACACTTCCAACGGGTGACAGTGAGGAGTCCACCACTCCCCACCCCCAGCTACACTGGTGGGGCTGAGCTAGGAGTGATCTAGTTGCTAACATACCCTGCACTACCACTGCCATTCCCCCACCCCCTGGCTGCTCCAGGGTACTGAACTAGGACAGATCTAGCCACTATAGTTCCCCTGTTCCACTGGTTGCCCCAGAGGGGCCGAACTAGGACCGATCTGGCTGCTGCCAATTTCCTGCCCCCAGTAGCCCCAGCAGACTGAACGAGGTCTAATTCAGCCATGCACACTCCCATGCAGCTGCTGCTGTTCCACTGCACCCCGGCTGCCCCAGCACCCGAGAACTGGGGGAAGACAACAGACACGTTCTGCCTGTCTCTCTGGGAAACCAGAAGAAGCCACAAACTGAACAGTTCTGATAAGGCCTCCAAACAAGGTAAACTCAGCATGGGGCAGAATCAGTGGAAAAACTCTGGCAACTTGAATAACCAGAGTACATCAACACCCCCAAGGAAAAATGGGGCAGACAAAATTGAAGACACCATATACAAGCAAATGGCTGAAATGTCACAAATCGAGTTCCGAATGTGGATAGCAATAAGACTAACACAATGGAAGAAAGGAAGGAATTAAAGTTCAATAAATTATTCAAAAGATTTCTCAAGAAATTATTTAAAAGATATCTCAAGAAATTATTCAAAAGATGTCTCAAGAACTCAACGATTTCAAAGATAAAATGATCAAAGATTTTGAAACACTGAGACAAGAGGTTGTAGCCCTCAAGGATCTGAAAGACATGGTGGAATCCCTCCTTAACAGAGTGCAACAGGCTGAAGAAAGGATCTCTGATTTTGTTGAAAAGCTTTTGAAGAAGCCCAGAAACACAAAGATCAAAAGAAATGGAGAGCAAAAATGGATCTCACTCTCAGAGAACTCTTGAATAATTCGAAGAAAACTAATATTCGCCGTATAGGAATCTCTGAAGGAGATGAAGTTGCTTCACAAAACACAGAGGCTCTTCTTCAAGAAATTATGAAAAATAATTTTCCAGACATGCCAAGAGATTCTGAAATTCAGACAGCAGATAGTTTCAGAACCCCAGCACAACTCAACCCAAACAAGACATCCCCCAGACACATTATAATTAACTTCACCAAAGTTAAGATGAAAGAGAAAATTCTGACAGCAATCAGACATAAAAAAAACACAACCTACAAGGGGAAGAGTATTAGGATGACTGCAGATTTCTCAGCTGAAACCTTTCAGGCTAGAAGAGGATGGTCATTGACTTTTAATCTCCTAAAACAAAATAACTTTCAACCCAGGATCCTGTATCCTGCTAAACTGAGTTTCATATATGATGCAGAAATTAAATACTTTAATGACATTCACATGTTGAAGAAATTTGTCATAACTAAACCAGCTCTCGAGGAAATTCTCAAACCTATCCGCCATAATGACGAGTGCAATCCTCCACCACAAAAGTAAACCCACTCAGAAACTTTTGATCACATTCCAAATTCCACAGTGGTGAAAGGATTAAAAATATCTACTGGACTTTTGAGCAACTCAATGCCCAAAATTTTACCAGGATTAACAATAATTTTAATCAATGTAAATGGCTTAAATTGTCCTCTAAAGAGGCACAGATTGGCTGATTGGATACAGAAACTCAGACCAGACATCTGTGGTATTCAAGAATCACACCTTACTTTAAAAGATAAATAT